TTTTTCATCTACACAACTAACGCACTGTGCATTATATTTCTGGTTTCTTAGCTGTGCACTCTGACCCAACTATGTGTGAGGAAAGGAGGTAAATTTGTCTTCACCTTCCCAACAACAAGTGCAGAAACTCAACACACAGTGGCCAATAGCTATGCTGAACTGAACTTGTATTTCTAAGATTAAACGGACACATTGGAGAGATACGTGAAATCTTATTACTATGTTGGTTGTTTCAAAACCATTTTTAGACTCTTACCTTCAGTACCTTTAGACTCAATTACATATTTGATGAATTTCAAACTTTCTCCCTTCTAGTATTCCCTCAGTTAATTTTCCATTATTATTAGTTCTTCTTGGTAGAGCTCAGCAAGAATGAAGAAATCAGCCAGATGTCGTTCCACGAGGAGCCTTCATTATTTCTCCTTCCAAGCATTATCTCAACGCTGTGACTCAAGCCTGTGACCACAGAAAGCACAGATCCACAGTGAAATCATGCTTTGCAAATAAGTAGTCAGCCTGAAGGGCAAATACGGAACTGTCTCCTAGTTCCGGTACTTCTGTTTCTTTCACCAAATCACTGGGCCCCACCATGAAAAGAACTCTGCCTCGTTCGCCATTCGGTGAGGCTACCAACCTTGCCCATCTCTGCACAGCAGTGTGGCAGTGAGGCCCAAGTACAGTGTCTTCCTAGGGCCTGCTTGGCTCAGTGTCAAGGATGTGGCAAAGACATGAATTGACTCATTGTAGGAAACAACATGGCTCTCTGTGTGAGCTCCGCAGTCCAATTCCTCTTCTCCACCACCACTTACAGCTCATATGACCAAGAGTAAGTCAGCTCCTCTGGGCCTCAGTTTCCTCATCTGTAGTATGAGGCTGATAGAAGAACTGCATCTGGAGTTGTTGTGGAGCAGTTCTGCAAGTCCTTTTTCATGAGTGTTTTTGTGAAGTGTGATCAAAAACACTGAGTGCGACTGAGCCACCTGACAGAAAAGCAGGCTCTTAAAACATTATGCTGCATCCTTAGCAACTTTACTTACCAGATCTGCCACTAGGCAACTTCTAGCTCTTTCCCAAAGTCAAAACAACCACGTGAGACCAATATTTTGATCCGATTCAGGACGTCACAACAGGCATTTGCCATGTGTGTTGATCACACTCCGCAGGTGAAACCCTTTCATCTGCTGCAGGAGACTGGCTCTTGTTTTCACTTTGTTCCTTTCTGGACAGTGTTGAGAAGGGCTTGACGGGTGTCCCTCCTCGTTGGGACATTCACAGGAAGAGGTCAGGAGTGTAGATGTATGGACGTGCGTGCCTGATCTGAGGTGTGGGAGTGAAGACACAGTGACAGGATGCTGTGTTGTGTCACAGGAGGATGAAGGGAGGAAGATGGAGCAATCAGGGAACAACCTCCCCACACAGGGCCTGAGCTGCAATGACAGGCTGGTGACTGAGTGCAGCAGGCCATTGGCCCCGCCCCACCAGCAAGAGAAAGGACCAAAGGTGCTTGTGGACATGGACCAAGGCCAGGAGCCTCAGATTCCAGCAAGCCCATCAGGTGAGCACATTGTCAGGGTAAACACAGGACCTTGTGCGTGCTAGACAAGTACTCCACTCAACCTCCAAGCTGCAACTTTTCCGAAGATCTGCCATTATTTAAATGCAGAAATAAGTTCAAACAGGGCACTGCAGATAAGACAGTCTGAGACTTGAGGCCTGCAGGAGACAACCAAGCGTGGGAACACACAGACATCACCGTCCTCCTAGAAATCTTGGCTGTCCCCTCTCACACACAGGCCACTAAGATAATTCCTTGGGCACTTCATTCTTGTTAGAGGAGTTTGAAGAAAATCTGTCAGACAGCTTTCCCGAAGAAATGCCTATCAGCTGCAATGACTGGAGATAACGGGAAAAAGAGCCCCAAACAGACCACCAAGGAGCAAGGACTTGCAAGAGATCTGGAAGAGAAGTAGGTGGGCTACAATGCCGGAAGGCATGGGCAGGACCTACACCTGTCCAGCAGGTGTGATTGTTCCTCCTTCTGGTCTTTTCATTGGCATCAGGGGCTCTCAAGATGTTTCATGGAAAACAGCTCTAAAAGAAAGGAGACAGGGCATTCTTCTCCCACAGATCACATTGTTCTCGGTCTCAGAGAGAGAGGATCTGGGGCTGGGGTGCTGGCTGCCTTTTCCCTTTTGGTGTGTGTGTGTGTGTGTGTGTGTGTGTGTGTATACTGGGGCTGCATGCTGTCCTGATGAAGGGAGTGGGAAACACTCCCTGGCTTTCCCTGTGAGTGGGTACACATAGCAGACTGGGGAAACAAGGGTGCTTTAGGCCACCCCTCAGTAGGCAGCATAGGGCAGAAAGTTCTGGAGTCCAGAATTTCTGAGCAAATGTCACTCATATTCTCATTAAGCCAGTTTCAGCAGCCTGCTGACTGGAGGTGATCTCTGTTTTCATAGCAGCTTGAATCTCATCTGTTTTCCTCCAGAGTCTAATTATAGAATGGCTCAGAAGACCAACGGCATTGCGTGTCCACCAGGACCAAGAAGCTAGCAGCTTGTAGAGGTGTTGATATTTCTGCTCTCTAACTAGTGATTGAGTTACTTAGTTTCTTCATTGAGGGCTCTCAGCAAAAGGAAGGGGTGTTAAAAAGGATCCATCATGGAGTCCCAGGAAAAGTTTTGTCAGGAAACATAATGTTGAAGGACTAACTGTCCACAGATCAGATGGCAGTCATAAGTGATACCCCAGTGGCACTGTTAGTAAGGGTGTCTTCAAAAACTGTCTAGGCTATAATCACCTTTTGTCACCAAATGAACATTAACTATAACGTTTACTCATTTATTTAACAAGTTGAAGTATTTTTAAATAGTAAAAAATTTAAAAGCCCTCAAAATTAGCTCCTCTCCAAATTGCATGGATACTGAGACTTAGCATAAATGATTGCTTCTGATTTGAAACAGATTTTCAATTTAATTTATTGGCAAGCGAAGGTAACTTCATGCATAATGTTTTGCTACCATCTTCTTAATGGTACCCAGTACATACTGGGTATTCAATCAATG